TTGCAAAAATTTTCAATTTTTTTAGAATCGGAACTTCAGGGATATCGTTGAATATCATGCTTCAAATGAATCCAATCATAGCTTAAAATGTTTGTTTTAATACCATTAAGTCGAAGTTAAAAGATGATTACGATAGCTATGTTGGGTGATTTGATTTTATGATGATTGTGGAAAATTTATAATTTTTCATGAATTTCCCTGAAAGTGAGCTTTCTGATGGTTTCTTCAAATGTGATGTTTCAAATTCATTCAGGCATGTGTAAATAAAATTTTTCTATTAACATTTTATCGAAGGGGTGGGGGGAGAGATAGAACCGTAGAAAAGACAATTGGTGGTATCGAAGAAAGGGATAATGAGAATAATGACGATGATAACATTCAACTAAGTTGAAAGTCTGACAAAATTAGTTGAAAAGAAATCTTATTCAATTTAATAAAATGAAATTAACAATGAATTATACAGAATAGACGGGAGAGATGAGCAAAATAACCATTCGGAAGCATACTACTAATTTATTAGCAGAAATAACTATACTATATGCAATACAAGAGCAATTTCCGACTTATTTCAATTAAAATTTAGTGGAGCAGTGAATTTTAAAATGCAAAAAATCATTTTTCAATGAAAAAAATATTCGTTCTTCTTTTCTTTCAAATTCTGATGCGTAAAAATTTGAAATAAAAATGGTCACTAAAGAAGTTGAAGTTGAATTTTTCAATTGAAATTAGTTTGGGTAATTAATCTTTCAATGCAGAAAATAATGTTAAAGATTTCCTCCATCCTCAACTGGCTGAAAAATTGAATTCACATTGTTGAAGTAATTTTCACGATTGAATTTTCCTACTCAATTCAACTTATCTGCGGCATCTATCAAACAGAGGTTAGTAATTCACTGAGATTTGTTAAGGCAAAACACAGTTACCACAGTTTATTGGATTAAGTGCGAAAGTACCCCCGCGACTGCTCGAGAAAATAAGGAAAAAAAACGCAGGAGCTAGATACCGAGAAAGATTGGATTCACCGACTCCTCGAGGGTGAGAAAATTTTCTCGTAAATTCTCCGATTTCTTTAATCTCGGTTAAAACCCAGTCTCAATTTTCTCCCTCATCTCGCTCCCCCCGAAAAATCCTATTTTCTTTTTTTTATTATCTCGTGTTTCCTCGCAGGGAGATAGCGGTGGGTTGTAAATTCCGTGGACAAACAATCATAATTTTCAAAGAGTCAACGAAAAACAAGAGTTTGAGACTCTTTAAAGGGAAGCCGATGCCAGCCGCCGCATGAAATGCGACCACCTATGCAACTCCGCAATTGTGTCACAAAGGTTTTTTTTTATTCCGATTTTTCTCGGATGTTAATTCAGTTTAATAAATAATTCCCAAAATAAAAAACTTTTTTTACTGTTTATGTTCTTTTTTTCAATTGATTTTTCAATTGTAATGCGGTGGATTTTATTTTATACGCCGAGTGATTGCTCGCGAGTGAATAGAAATGACGATGATGATTTTTTATCAGTGGAAATAAGTTTTTTGCCAATTTTGTCTCCCGACAATTTCACTAAAATCCAGATGTAATTCTGGAGTTAGATTGGATTGATGATATTAATGGTTGTGAATGTTATTTAAATGATAGTCTGTTAATTCAATTCAATGAACGATTTCCAAAAATGACGAACAAGTTGAATTGTAGTTTTCGTTGTTTTTGTTTCTTTTTCCAATTTCATTTGTAATGCATTGGATTTTATTTTATACATTGAGTGACTGTTCGTCAGTGAATAATAATGATGATAATGATTGTTTACGAATAAAATTATTTCTTTCAACAGCAAAGGAAAAGAAAATTTTTTGTCCTGAAAATTTCACTAAAATCAAGATGTAATTCCGGAATGAGATTGGATTCCCAATGTTAATAATTGTAAATGACATTCAAATGATAGTCAAAGTCAACATCCGAAAATCATTGTGTCTCATTATTTTTGAAAAAGAGAATTCAATTGATTTCGCCAGAGATATCCTTTTTTTTCAAAAATTTCATTGACACTCTGAAATTTGAGTCTTTATTTTTGGTGATGATTCAAATGATCGTGAATATTATTCAAATTTCGGCTGAATTAATTCATAAAAGAGCAAACAGCCTCAGATATTGCTCAGAAAAAATGAAACTTTCAAGAAGAAACAAAAAAAAATGTATGCAAAGATGATTTTTTCATGAATTTCCAATAATAAATCATCGAGACAAAAATTCTCTGCTATTGTAACTCCGTAATTCATTTCCTCCCTGGAATAGATGAGCTAACCACTTGTAAATGTTATTCAAATGGTATTTAACATTCATTTGCATGTAATTGAATTGAATTCAATTCAAATCTCAGGAGTAAACAATTCAAACGAAATAAACATTCTTCGTCTGAGGGAAAATAATGCCTTCAATCTTCTTTCTTTGTCAATTTTGCCGAATTACGAGGCGATATTCACTACTGTTGTATACCCCAGTATTTTGTTCTTACCATGCTTATATTATTTTACTATTTCACGTAGATTCCCGAATTTCTTAAATACTTAATGATATAATTAATGTGGGGCCTCACCCCAATAACACTATAAAACCGAATCCCCTCAATACATATTCTAAGCAATCGTGTCACCTTTGGGCCATTCCCCCCATTATAAAAAATCCCTGAGTCTGCCCAATAGCAGAACCTCTTGTAACTAAAAAATCTCTTGAAATAGACTTGTCCGAGTTGTCACACTGTTTCACAGTTGATTAACGATTCTACAAATAAATATCAGATTTATTTTAACATAAAATCTGTGTACGTGTATTTATTTAACGGAATCCAACACTACCACTCAATGTTCAAAACATCCTAAATATTGACCTCAAGGAATTTTAGATCCATTTTCCAAGGGGAATAGCACAATGTTGTACTTTTGGAAGTGTTTTCCATTTTAAAAAAATTGAAATTTTCAAACTGACATTCGTCGAGATGATAAAATACTGTCGATAATAGAAGTCTATTAAGCCACTATTTTCATCCAATTTCAATGCAAATGAGTCTATTTCATAGTTGAAATTTTTATCAAGTGTCAATTCCACAAAAATTCGGAGGAATTCGGTCATTTCGAATTTGCAATTTGATGAAAAAATTTGTAGAAACTTCAAATTTAATTTCAATTATTCCATAAAAATAAATGGAAATCAGAAAAATTCAGATAAAAATAATTTTGAATTTTCAAACAGCCCAAGTTTTATTTTTAGTTTTTTTTGTGATAAAAAAGTAAAAAGTTGAATACTTCCAGTGGATTTTTTTATCAAGTGACAATTTCCCTGGAATTCCAAGGAATTTCATAATTTAAAATTCACAATTTGTTGGAAAATAATAAATCAAAATTTCCCAATTCCATTTCAATTATTCCGTAACAATTCATAGAAATCGGGTAAATTCAGGTGAACGTATTATTTGATTCTCAACTAATTGAATATACTTGAAAATCTTCAGACAATATTTTCACTAGTTTCGCCTTCATTTCCATTCAACTGACCTTGATCACTCAAAATCGCCGGAATATCCAAAAAAAAACTCGAGGAATCTAAAATTTTTGAGTGGAAATTGGGATCAAGTGACAATTACACTAGAATTCCAAAGAATTTCGTCATCTAATGACGTTGATATTAAAAATTGTCAATTTCATATGAATTTTGGAGGGGAAATTTTGACCAAGTGACAATTACACTAGAATTCCAAGGAATTTCGGTTTTATTGGAGTCGACAATAAAAATTGTCAATTTCATATCAACTTTGGAGGGAAAATTTTGATCAAGTGACAATTCCACTAGAATACCAAGGAATTTCGTCATCTAATGAAGTTGACAATAAAAATTGTCAGTTATAACACCCCGAGACCTTCAAAATTATCAGAATATTTCCTCATAGCTTCGTTGCAAACAAATCAAGGTGTTAAGTTTTGCACACTAAAAATCTCGAATGCGCAGCACGAGAGATTTTTCTACAAAACTTGACACATTTATTTGTTTGCAGGGAAGTTTGAGGGAAATATTGCGATTAATTTTGGAGGTCAAGGGATATTCGGCGGATTGTTGTCCGGGACTGAATTTTGGCCAAGCGGTGCGCAGAAGCTGAAGGCACAACTGAACAGAGAGGATCTATCACGATGTTTGATTGGTTAGGAATAAATGAAAAGCTACTATGCAATTATCAGATGCAATTTTCAAAAGCTAGTGTGCAATTTCCCAGAAAATTTGATAACAAATGAGCATTGGGATCTGAAATACTGCGTGCTGAAATCCAGGGCCGGAAATAATCAATTTCATTTCAATTTTTGAGGGAAAATTTTGATCACGCGAAAATTCCACTAGAATTCCAAGGAATATCGTCATTTAATGAAATTGACAATAAAAGTTGTCCATTTCCTTTCAGTTTTGGAGTGAAACTTTTGACCAACAGACAATTCTACCGGAATTCCAATGAATTTCGTCATCTAATGAAGTTGACAATAAAAATTGTCAATTTAAGATCAATTTTGGAGGGGAAATTTTGATCAAGTGACAATCGCACTAGAATTCCAAGGAATTTCGTTATTTACTGAAGGAGCCAATAAAAAAATTAAATTTCATTTCAATTATTCCATAAAAACTAACAGAAATCAAGCAAAAACAGGTCAATTTTTGGACAATATTTTCGCGGAAATTTTGATCAGGTGACAATTCCACTAGAATTTGAAGAAATTTCGTCACTTCATGACGTCGCCAATAAAAATGATCAATTTCATTTCAATTATTCCATAAAAATTGATAAAAATCCGGCAAATTCCGGAGAATGTACCATTGAATTCTCAACAATTTGAATCAATTTCGCAATATTATCACTAGCTTCACCTTCATTTCCGTCCAACCAGCCTTGATCACTCCAAATCGCCTACAAATCCCCCAAAAACCACCCCTCCCCCTTCCCCGTCATAACCAACGCGGAAGTGATCATTACCTTATATCCGTCAACGAGAAATCTCCCCGTTGTCTCGTGTTCCCCAAGGCTGTCACCATCCCTGTATATCAACACCACCAAAACCAGCCTCCAAACCCCTCATATCCCCCAGAACTCGCGAATCCTCAGATCTCCACAAAAAAAAACACAACCTCACAATTTCCTCAATCTCCAAGTTATCCCGTAATCATCATCCACTCGCGCACATGACCGTCACCCAACAGTCATCAATCAGTCCCTCCACATCCCCCCAAAAAAAAGAATTAACAATCCTCAAGAAAATTCACTGAAAACCCCCCCGAATTTCACTCAAATCACTCAAATCACAAATATTCCCAATTATAATACAAAAATAACGAAAAATCCTTCATCGGTCACTCATCATCATCATCATCTCTTCTGAAGACTCACAATCCTTCTCATCAACTCACAATAATAATCCTGACTCCACCAACTCCTTTCAATTATTTATTCATCCAATAACTCCACTATCTTCAGTATTTCAATTATTAATAAAGCACTATTTCATCGATAAATCCCTCAATAATTATCATATAATTATTTTATCAACCACGCGGCGATACTGTCCCTTAACGAATAGACCTCGCGTGTATCGGGGGTGCACGATACCAACGTGGGGCCACCACTGTGCGAGCTAACCAGCGCCAAGTGCCAGCGCGCGCCTCCCCACTAAAATTTTAAGGGGGGGGGGG